CAAATAGTTCCAGAAGTGGAATTCCCAGGTCAAAGAATTTATATATTTTTTAGATTTATGATACATGTCACCAAATTGCCTGAAAAAAGTTATGACAATTTACGTGTCCACTAAATAGTATTGTTCACTTCCTCAGGGTTCCTTTTCTGAAATTGTCACACAGTTCATTTTAAAGAAGTTCAGAAGCACAGAAGGGTATAAAGTGAAAACGTAGGCATTCATGAAATAGTCTGAATTATAGAATAGAGTAGATTGTTAAAAAATATTTTTAAAAGTTCTCATCACTGCCCAGCTCGTGTGACTTGGTTGAGCATGTCTCCATGCACCAAGAGGTCGGAGGTTTGATTCCCTGTCAGGGCACATGCCCAAGTTTTGGGCTCAATTCCCAGTAATGGGTATGCAGAAGGCAGCCTATCTATGTTTGTCTCTCATCGATGTTTCTATTTATCCTTCTCCCTTCATCTCCATCTAGGAATTCAATAAAAACATTTAAAAAAATTAAAATAAAGTCATCCATGGGCTGGGAATCCGAGTAGAATGATCACTATTAAAACTGAGACGTAGGCAAAGAGTCAACATTAAGCAAGAAGTAGAATTGGGTGAGGAGTGGGCAATGGTAACAAAACATTGATGAACAAAATGGCTTCCTAGTTATGAATGTAACAAAGCCCACGCGTTAAAACCGCCCCCTCAGCCCTTCACCAAGGCAAGACTGCCTCTGGGTCTAGCCTGTCATTGACAAAGCCATGTTTCTTCTGTGATGCACAAAGGATTCTGCCTCTTCAATCTCAGTTGAGCAACTGCATGGGATAAATGATGCAAATCTTTTTTTTTTAAGTATATTTTTATTGTTTTTTTTACAGAGAGGAAGGGAGAGGGATAGAGAGTTAGAAACATCGATGAGAGAGAAACATCAATCAGCTGCCTCCTGCACACCTCCTACTGAGGATGTGCCCACAACCAAGGTACATGACCTTGACCGGAATCGAACCTGGGACCCTTGAGCCCGCAGGCCAACGCTCTATCCACTGAGCCAAACTGGTTAGGGCAATGATGCAAATCTTAAAAGGAAAACTTATAAGATGGATGGTCAGCACTGTGGTAGAACAACAAAGCACAAATGAGCTCACAGGCAAAACACCTATGAGAGTAACATAAGTAAGATGGGCAGAATCAGAGATAGAGAATCATTCCCCATCCCAGAGTAAGGAGACAGCTATCCATGAGAAAAACACCCCCATAGGAAATGGGAATCAGAGTACCATAAAGAAAAATAGTAACACTGAATACCAAGTAAGGACAACTGCAAAGGAAGGATGACAGGAAACTGGGTGAGCAAACACATTTGAAGATACCTAACGTCAAAAACAAGGGTTAATAAAAATAAATAAATAAATAAAGCAAGGGTCAGCCCTACCTGGATCGCTGAGTGGATAGAGTGTCAGCCTGCGGACTGAAAGGTCCTAGGCTCTATTCTAGTCAAGGGCATATGCACCCTTTTGTTGTAGGTTCAGTCCCAGTTGGGGGCATGCAGGAAGCACCTCATCAGTGATACTCTCTCTCTCCCCTTTTCTCTCATAAATCAATAAAAATGTATTTTTAAAAAAGGGTCTGCCCTAGCTGGATTGGCTCAGTGGACAGAGCATGGGCTGGTGGACTGAAGGATCCAAGGTAAGATTCTGGTCAAGAGCACATGACCAGATTGCGGGTTTAGTCCCCACTGGGGGGTGTGCAGGAGACAGCCAATCAATGATTCTCTCTCATCACTGATGTTCCTATCACTCTCTCCCTCTCTCTTCCTCTCTGAAATCAATAAATATATATTTAATAAAAATAAAGGGTCAGGACCTCCCCTGGGCGCCTGCACCGCTGCCCGCAGCTGCCACCTGCTGGAGGGCTGGCCGCCCTGGGTGGCGCCCTGCTTCCCCAAGCTCAGGCGGCGGGCCCCGGGGGTGGCAGCAGCCCAGCCGCAGCCCCTCAGAGCAGAGCCCCCTCCTTGCAGCTTCAGCGACAGCTCAGGTTCCCTCACCCCACCCGGGCACCGGCCTCCTCATCTGGCTCCTGCGCCACCGCTGCTGCTGCCACGGTCGCACAGCGTCCCAGGCAATGCCTCCTCTAGCAACACTGAGCTCTGCTCGAAACCTGCCTCTTCCATCCAGCCCGCTGCCCTTCCCCCAAGTTGCAGCCCAGCCGCCCTCAGAGCAGAGCCCCCTCCTTGCAGCTTCAGCGACAGCTCAGGTTCCCTCACCCCACCCGGGCACCGACCTCCTCATCCGGCTCCTGCGCCACCGCTGCTGCTGCCACGGTCACACAGGGACCCAGGCAATGCCTCCTCTAGCAACACTGAGCTCTGCTCGAAACCTGCCTCTTCCATCCAGCCCACTGCCCTTCCCCCAAGTTGCTACGTGCTCATTCAGCCGGGAAACAGCGCCCTGTTCCCACCTACCAGAAGGTCCCCTTGCCCTGGGGCCCTACACCTGCCCATTCCCTGCGGGACTTGAAGGGGAGCTGGCTGGGCTGGGCCTTGGTCACTCGTTTCCTCCAGATGTCCAGGAAGACCCCGGACCCTGGTGGGAATGGAGCCCATGGGCATAAGCAGGTGCCCCGGGGCCAGTGGGGACGGCCAGGCCGACAGTCTCCATCTTAGAAGCTGCGGGGATCTGAGCTCCGGCTCCTCCCTGTGGCGCCCTCCTGTCTGGCCGCAGGCTTGAGCAGGGTACTCGCCCCCCACAGCCTCAGTCTCAATGGGGGAACCCGGGAGACAGGGCTCTGATGTGGGCTTCTTGCTACATTGAACAGATCCAGGTGAATGCTGGGGCTACAGGCCCCAGCTGGTTGGGACCAGCAGCCTCCGGCATTCCCTTGCACTGGCTGACACAGAAAGAAACTCGCTGTATACCCACTGTTATTCCTTTCTCTCCTACCTCTGGGGCCCCTGCTGCTTGCCTCTGCTCCTCTGGCCTGGGAGAGCTTCTGTCCTGTACTGCATGGGTATTCAGGCTGCGGGGGAGATACCCTGCTTACAGCACTGGAAGGAGAAAATAATCAAGTCCGGCCCCACCCCCTGATCCCCAGCATGAGAGTAACTCTCTCTGATTTGTCAGGGGCACTATGGCCAGGGCAAGGCATGTCCAGGGTGTTTAAGCATAAGGGACTGTGTGCCTATACAACTGGGTGGTAAAGCATGAAGAGTCATAAAAACCTGGGTGGCCTCCCAGCTCTGCCACCTCTGGCTGCATGACCTTGGGCAACTTATTTAACCTCAGTTTCCTGACCTGTAAAACACTGCGAGGGCAAATGTTTGTAAAATCCTTAACACACTGTGAGCCCTCAATACATTTCAATTTCCCCCTTCAAAAAATAAAAATAAAAAAATAAAAAATAAAGGGTCAGCGTTACCACTATCAGCCACTGTATTTCTGTTCTCATTGATCCTACTGGCCTGTTATCCAAAAAACTGGAAAATTTTGTCTTTAAAAACCACAGAATGCCCTGGCCAGTGTGACTCAGTTCACTGGAGCATCGTCCAGTGTATCGAAGGGTACAGGGTTTGATTCCCGTTGGGGCACATATAAGAATGTGGGTTCCATATCTGGTTTGCATGTGTGCAGAGGCAGCCCATTGATGTTTCTTCTCTCTTCTCTCTCTCTCTCTCTCTCTCTCCCTCTCTCTCTCTCTCCATTTCTTCTCCTCTGTAAAAATAATAATAAATACATAAGACTTTCAGGGTAGCCAAAAACAGAAGTGATCTCAAAAAACTCTAGAGACAAAGGAAATAACAAAACAACCTACCAAAGCTTATGTATAACATTCAGAAAATGGAATTCTAAGGGGAAATTTTATAGAGATAAATGCCTACATTGTCACAAAAGATCTCAAAGAACCTAACATTGCACCTCAGGAAACTAGAAACACAACAGGAAAGTAAACCAAAGGTTTCAAAGGAAAGAAACCATAAATATTAGAACAAACATAAATAAAAGGGAGACAAGACAAAAATACCTAAAAGGTATATTTTAGAAATATATTAAAATGTGCAAGCCTTTAGCTACATTAAAGCAAAAACAAAAAAACAACCAAAAACAAAGCCTCAAATAAGTTAAAAAAGAAATGAAAGAGCCCTAAATGGTGGTTTGGATCAGTATGCAGAGCATCGGCCTATAGACTGAAGGGTCCCAGGTCTGATTCCAGTCAAGGGCATGTACCTTGGTTGTGGGCACATCCCCAGTAGGTGGTGTGCAGGAGGCAGCTGATCGGTGTTTCTCTCTCATCGATGTTTCAAACTCTCTATCCCTCTCCCTTCCTCTCTGTAAAAAAATCAATAAAATATATTTTTTAAAAAAAGAAATGAAAGATAAGACATTATACCTGTCACTATGAACCTAATGCATCATAAGAGATGTTTATGTTAGGAGATGACATGACCCTCCATAGCGAAATTTGTCAAGATCCCACTATGAGCTTGTGAAATTAATAAACAAATTCAGAATCCTGTCTAGGTCACTCAGTTGTGGTGAGTATGTGGTCCGGATGCACCAAGGCAGTGGCTTTGATCCCCCATCAGGGCACATGTAGGTGACAGCCAATAAATGCTTAGATGGGTACAACAGCACATCAATGTTTCCCTCTCTATCTACCTTCCTGTCTCTAAAATCAATAAATAAATGCTGCCAGGTATGTCTCACTGGTTGAGCATTGACTCCTGAACTAGGAGGCCACAATTCAATTCTTTTTTAGGACACTTGCACTGGTTGCGAGCTCAATGACCAGTGGGGGTCGTGCAGGAGGCAGCTGATCAATAACTCTCTCTCATCACTGATGTTTCTATCTCTCTCTCATCTTCCTCTCGGAAACAAGAAATACTTATATTTAAATAAATAAATAAATAATTTAAAGAATAACTAAATATCCCTAGACACTGTGGCTCACCGATGAGAGTGCTAGGTTGTGCACTGGAGGGCCAGGGTTCGATTCTCAGTCAAGGGCAGGTACCTGGGTTGCAGGTCCGATCCTCCCTCTCACTATGGGCACATGTGGGAGGCAACCAACCAATGTTGCTCTCTCTCTGTCTGTCTGTCTGTCTCTCTCTCTCTCTCTCTTTCTCTGTCTCCCACTCTCTCTCTAAAAAACAGTCAATGGGAAAAATATCCTCACTATTCGGGCGAAGATAAAAGAAGAATAAAGAATTAAATTCAGAAAAGTTACAGGATGCAAAATAAATGTATAAACATTAGTTCCACTTCTACACACTAGCAATAAATTCTTTGATTAAAAACATGAAAAGGGTAACGAAATTGAAAATAGCATCAAAAACAATAAAACCCGCAGGAATAAATTCAACCAAAAAGTGAAACATCTGTACACTGAATACTATAAGACAGAGATGAAAGGAAAGGAAGGAAACACAAATCAGTTGAAAAACAACCTGTGTTCATGGATTTAGAAATGAAATATGGTGGAAACAGCTATAGTACACAAGGCAAACTACAGATTAAATGCAATCCCAATAACTCCAATGGTACTTTACAAAGAAATGAATAGAGAATCTTGCAATGGAATCAAAAGACCGCCATTAACAAAAGCAATCTTGAGCGAGAACAAAGCTGGTGGCATCACACTTCCAGGCTTCAATTTATTACAAAGAGAAAGCAAGCAAGCAGTGTGTTGCTGGAGAAACACAGACACATATATCAACAGAACAGAACAGAAAACAGAGAAATAAACCCAGGCACATACTTCTAAGTAATCTTTGTCAAAGCTGCAAGCCACAGAAAAAAGGAAAGATAGTTCCTTCAAGGAATGGTGCAGGCATATATCGACATTCACATGTAAAACCACAAAACTGGACACCACTGATAAAATTTAACTCAACCTGCAGGACAGAATTGAATGTCAGCGCTAAAAGTTTAAATTCCTCAGGACAACCAAGACAAAAAGTCTTGGAGATTTGTTTGGGACAGGATTTTCTGAATGTGACACCAACCACCAGAAAAAGTAGAAAAAATAAACTGCAGATTGCAACAAATAAAGAAAAAAAACCTTCTTCACAGCACAGCAGTAAACAAAACTAAATGAAAGGCAATCTAGAGAACAGGAGAAAATACTAGCAAATCATATGAAGGAATCGCTTGGAGACATTGTGGATTCACTTCTGATCAGCACAATAAAGAGAATACTGCAATATAGACAGAAATTCACACGCATTGTTGGAGTTCCCAGTGAATAATAAAGGTATATTAATACTATACTGCAGGATAATAACAATGCAATGACTTTATTCCCAAAAGCAAACTCTATATAACTTCATTAAAAATAAACAATGAAAACCAGAGCTGCCTTTCAGAGAACCAGTAATTCTACCCCTTACACACCTCCCCCACACTCAATCTCCTCTGGGACACCTGGTTACTGTGGACACCAGGCCCTAATGCCAGTGCAGGCTGCTCTCTCATCACAGTCCCATTACTCACTGCATGGCCCTCAGCAGAACAGCTGGGTTGGGTGGGAAGGATTGGGGAGAGGAAGGTAGAGGGCAATGCCATTTAAGGTCTGGGCGACGCGTGGGTTTATGCTTCGCCTTTAAGTCCCCACACCAGATCCCAGGTACAATCAGTTCACACTTCCTCCAGATGTGCTCACCACTGGGTACTCTTCAACCAAAAGATACAGTTAACAAACAGGATAAGGATTTAGAGGCAGTTCTTCAAGAAATACATACAAATGAACAACAGGAATATAGAAAATGCTTTCCTCACTGATCAAGTTGGAATTCCTTAGGCTTCCTGCAACACTACCAACCACAAGTCCTTCCCTGTGAATTTAGTGCAGCGGGGAGTATTGGAGCTTCAGGAATAGAAGGGAGCAGCAGAAACAGACCAACCCTCCCCAGGACGGCAACTACCCAGGAAACTGGAAAACCAAGCAGTACCACAGTCTACATGGGAGGACAGAGCACACCCTGGGAGATGGGGCCTGGGAAATCGCAAAGCCAAGTCCAGGTCACTGGTGACAGTGAGGGTCTTACCCAGGGAGGATAGAAGTTCAAAGTTCTCCAGCATCACATTCAGGTACAGCTGTCTCTGACCCTCATCAAGGAGGCTCCATTCCTCCCTGGAGAAGAAGAGGGCAATGTCCTCAAAGGT